CCGAACCGCTGCCTCCGCCCGGGCCTCCCGGGCCGCGTTCCGCCGCTGCCGCCGGCATGCGCACTGGAAGGCGGGTCCGCAGCAGCCCCCAGCGCCGCGTGCCGCTCCGAGTTTGAAGGGCGCCAGGCCGGGCGGCGGGTGCGGGCAGCGCGCGGGGCGTTCATGAGCCTCCGGGCGGCCCGCGGCCCCGGGAGCCTGCGCCGTGACTCACCCCCGCCCCCACTTGTGTCTCGTCCCCCGCGGCAGGATGCCGGACCAGATCTCCGTGTCCGAGTTCATCGCCGAGACCACCGAGGACTACAACTCGCCCACCACGTCCAGCTTCACCACGCGGCTGCACAACTGCAGGAACACCGTGACGCTGCTGGAGGAGGTAGGTCGGGACCCCGCCGCGCCGGGGGCTGGGCTGGGAGGACGCGGAGGTGGGGACCAGGGGCAGCCACACCCCCTCTGACAGCCCCCGGGTGGATGAGGGGCGTCAGCCCTGCAGTCCCCCCGCCGCGCGGGCACCCTCTCCCGGGACTGAAAGTGGAGAAGGACCGGGCGGGCTCTGGGCACCCCAGGGAGTGCAGAGACGGAGCGAGCCCGCATCCTGCAGCCGGCCTGGGGCCGGGCGCTGCGCTGCGCTTCCACATCGTTGTGACCCTTTCCTAACCCAAGCACATGGCGTTAGGCCACCGAGGGCAGAAAGGCCAGGCTGCGTGGCCAAGGTCACCAGCCAGAGACTTAGAGGTGGCCCGGGCATGCACTTCTCCGCAGCCCCGCGGAGCCAGGCAGGCTTAGTTGCAGAGATAAGGGCCGGTGGAAAAACCCCGAGGAATAAAAGGGAACTCAGACGGATACTGTCTCCACCCCAGAGCTCTTTTTCCCTGCCAGCCTCCTGTGCTCAGAGTGCGGAACGGCCCAGGTGGAGGGAGGTCTGTGCAGACAGCCCCCCGCCCCCGCCGGCGTGCCCTTACACTAGCTGGTTTAGGAGAACTCAGGGCTGTGCAGGACACTCCTGAGGTTGTGGAGAGATGTGAGCCCTGTGCACTCTCCTGCAGAGCTGATCTGACTGGGAGATGAGACCAGAGCTGCCGAAAGAACAGCCTCTTGGTCTGGATCCCCCAGCGAATTCTTGGGGATGTCCAGGGCAGGAAGGGCAAAGTCATTTGTTTTAACGTTTGAAATGTAGTGAAAAAGTGGGGTGGATGAGGAGAAAGCTGCAAACCCAGAACCTGGCAGAAGCCCCTGGAACCTCAGGGAGAAGACATTTTTGCCCTGAAATTCAGCACCATCTCCCAGGGCCACAGAAAGGCATTCCCCTCCTAACCAGCTCGACCTAGCCTAGCCGAAAAAGACAGTGTTGGAAGGGAGAGGTTTTCCCTGGGGATTATGTGATTGGTTTATTTGTGGCTAAGGGAGCTCTTTTATTTAAGATCACCGGGGTCAGCTCCTAGTAATACTGGGAATCTTGAGTTTCTGTAGGTAAACTGCTCTTGAAACCTGCTTGGCTAGCTCATGCAGTAATTAGTACATGAAGAGCTGCTGTTTGAATGCATAAGGATTCTAAAATGTTGGGAGACTTGTGGTTCCCATCTTACCTGCTAGGTGCTGTAGACCAGTCTGAGTGTTTGATTCCAGATTATTTCTATTTTTCTCTGAAGTCATTGTTTAGGAAATAAATGTTACATGAATGGAGAAATACCAACCTAACTGGATTGGTTTGAAAGCCAGAGATAATGGCTTTTTTCCCTCTTCACTTTGTGAACTCGGTCAGTTGCAATGTTAGTATCATGGTTAGTTTCAGGAATTCAACTGAGTTGCTAGCAACTCAACCTCATGATGTCTGCCGTTTGTGTTACTAGTGTATTGGAACATGCTGATAGAGGCATATGCACCACCCTTTTTGGTACTAATTGTATATGCCTCTGAAGGATGTGACATTGATTAGACTGCAGGTTGTTTTCCTTCAAGATAAGTTCTTCAGCCCCTGTTCATAGAGCTGTCTGTTACTTTTACCTTTCTGCACGTTCCGATAGTGTTACTGTATTCTGTTTGTGCAGCAGGTGATAAGAGTGGTGATGCTGTTTGTGGGTGTATTTGTGCATATTGAAATATCTTAGAACAGAATTAATGTCATGTAAGTAACAGCCTTGGTCTTAGTTTAAGGTAACTGTAAATGCAAGTGTAATAGGGTTTTGGTTTTTGTTTTGGCTTTTTTTGGTGCATGCTGTGTGTGTTACTGCCTTACAAGGTTAGGTAGAAGAATAGACTTGAGAAAGAATTGGAACCAACCTTGTTCAAAAATGACATATTTGAATATATTGATATTCTTATTCTCTAAAATCTACCAGTAAATGTTGCATTTGTGATGGTTCAATAATTTTGTTATTATTTTTCAACTTGAGTATGGGATTTGTTAAGAAACCATTTTCACCAATCTGTATCTTTTAACTCTTGAATCAGATTCTGAGGTTGGACTCTGAGTAGTTACCTCTTATAGAATATGTGTTTAGTTTCTTGTTGTTGGGTAATCACCACAGTTGAATTTTATTTTTCATTCCAAGCTTACATAAATGGAGTAGGTACATTATAAACATCTTAGGTAGACAATAAAAACATGTGACTGGGTATGGTGTTATGCACCTATAATCCTAGCACTTGGGTGACAGACACAGGAGGATCTCTGTAAGTTCAAGGCTAGCCTGGTCTACATAATGACTTCAGGCCAGTCAGGGCTACATAATGAGGTCTTGTCTCCAAAAAGACTAGGTAGGGATGGGGTGAGGAATATGGGATGTGCCACTCCAGATCTGGTGGCACAAACTCTGAGGCCTGCATTTGGAGGCTGAGCAGGAGGATTGGGAGTTCCCAGACAAGGCTATATAGAAGACTCTGCTCCCCAAAACACAACGAGATGAAGGGGAGGGGTGGGAAACTAAGGTTATTGCCCCAAAGTATAAGCAAAATTTTAGGCACATACCATGAAGTCTTGTTATTTTACAAGTGAGATATTTGACAGGAATGTAGCTTGTGGTATTTTGTGGTTATTCTCAGGAATAGAATTTTTGGGTGCTTTTTTGGTGATGTGGACAGTCCAGAATAGGGAGTGATTTGGGTAGTTTGGAATTCTCTGTTTGAAAACAAGTCTTTTCCTAGGTCTGGTAGTTAAGAACTTCCTGTTTACTAGTGACCTTCTCTGCTGTTTGTATTACTAATTAACATACATAGGGCTCAACTGAAAAACAGCTCCAAGCTTGGAACCCCAAATTAACCTACACATTCTTTCCCCTTTCGCATGCCATGTTGTGCAGATGCTGCTGCTTGCGTTTAAAGCCCACAGTTACTTCTGGGCTTCACCTTTGGGGGTAAAGGGGCACACATGGCAGTGGGAGTAATGATGAGGCTTTGAGAGGCAGGAATAGATCAACTGGTACTCTGCCAAGGTTTCATCCTGGCGTGCGAGTGTTTTCCAAGCGAAAAGCCAATGTTTTGCTTGTTCAGCAACCGGAACACATTGATGTATGCTATTTTACTCCTGACCCTTTGGAAGTTAGAAGTAAGTGACTAGGCAGAGACAGGGTTCTTCCAAGAAAGGAGCAAGCAGGCATTTTAGGACTGCAGTGACGATGACTTTGGGAGGCATCTTCCTTTTAAAAACTTAGAGTAGCCAGTACTTAGAGCCTTTTGTAAGGGTATTGTATCAGTGAGGGTCTGTTTGCTTCCTTGATACTGGGCCAGCATTCATGTTGGTGCTCATGGATGCTTTGCCCATTTTTGAGCTGCTGCAGTGTACAAGACCAGCTGTAGGCAAATGGGGTACATGATTTGTAGTCCTCTACGTAGAGCTACTTGTATCTGCTACATTCAGAGTCCTGCATGTGGAACTATGAAGAAAGACAGAGTTCTTAGCTCCATTTTACAGAGAAGAAAATTGAGGCCCAAAGAGATGGTTTGTCTCCAAGGTTTGGTTAGTAAATAAAGGAGTTCAGAAATTTTTAATAGTTAAGACAAAATAGATGTCTGAATGTCTGCAAAGACACGTTTCATTGACTTTGTAGTTCATATAAGAGGCTCTACTTTTGTTGAACTTTGTAATTTTTATCTCACAAAAGAAATGTGTAAGTTCCTTAGCAGTTTAGTGTTGCTTCTTGCCCACATTCCAGGAGATTCTTAATAGTGATATTTAAATATATTATTTCATCAAAGACCTCAAAGATGTGGGTGTGGGATTTCAAACTTAAAGGAGAGAACTTCCATCAGTGTGGTCTATGAACAGCACTTGTTCAACACATCTTTGAGGTCCGTAAGTCACGTTGTCAAACCCTGCTGAGGTATTGGGGCTATTTGGATTGTTTTATGGAAGCTAATGCTGTTTGTTTTCCATCAGTGTGGTCTATGAACAGCACTTGTTCAACACATCTTTGAGGTCCATAAGTCACGTTGTCAAACCCTGCTGAGGTATTGGGGCTGTTATTTGGATTGTTTTATGGAAGCTAATGCTGTTTGAGAAAGTAATAAAACTATAGCTCTTAATAGGGCAGAAAGGTTAAGTTCATAGATGGGAGAAATAATGCAGAACATTCATCACAGCAGTACAAGCTAAACACTCCAGTTTACCATCCAGTCAGTATGCAGGGTCTTAAGTGCATTCCTCTGCTAGGCCCAGGGATTCAAGGATTAGTAACTTACAAGGTGCCCTCTCAAAGCCTTTCTAAGGGAGGAGGGAGTCAGATGTGGTTCTGATATAAGATGTATGCCTTAATTTACATAAATAATATTATCAAACCTTTCTGAAGGCATAACAGCATTTGACTAAAGGCAAAACAAAGTTGATTCATTGTTAAGGCCTCTTTGATAATAACTCATCAGTTATTAATGTTCCCACTGTGTACATGCCTTGTATGTACTGTTATTTAACGATACCAGTGTCATTCCTATTGTCAGTGGTGTGTGCATGGTTAAGTATTTGGTTTAAGGTCACACAACTAAGCAGCAATGGACTTGGACTTGAGACTTAATCCAACTCTCTAGGGTTCTCTTGAATGCCAGTCAGACTTCTGTGTATATTCCTTCCCTCACCTTGCAGGTTTCAGTTGTTCCTTCCATGCTGATGACTAGAGATCACTAGTCTTTGATAACTGAGGTTAATACTGTTCTGTGGATTCTTACATCTAGCAATTCCACAGCCAGGTCTTAACCAAGAACTGGTTAGTTATCCTCAAAGAGTATGTAGTTTTAAACCACAAAGTCCTTTTCATGATGGAGTTAAATAAAATCAAAGTTAGCTTCCTTTGCCTAGGTTAAAAAAATGTGGTTTGGTCTATCCCTGACCTCTTGACGATAAGCCAACCAAAGACAAACAAGTCTACCTGTGGTACCACTAACTTT